CCAAGGTCAGTCAATATTTCTTAAGCGCCTACTATGTGCCAGGCCCTGTGCTAATGGATGGGCATACAAAGAAGGGCAAAAAAGAATCCCTGAAGGAACTCACAATCTAACGGGGGAGACAAGATGCAAACAACTACGTACAAACAAGATCTACCAGGATAAATTACAGGTAATAAATTAGAGGTACACAGGATAAAATAAAGGGATGGCACTAGAATTAAGCGAGATTGGGAAAGGCTTCTTGTAGGAGATAAGATTTTAGCTGGGACTTGAAGGAAGTCAGGAGTTGGAGATGAGGAAGAAGGGAAATTCAGGCCAGGGGAACCCAGTTTAGATGCCCGAAGCCAGGAAGTGAATTGTCTTGTGCGAGAACAGTAAAGAGGAGACCGCCATTGGATCACTGAGTCTATAGAGGGGCATAGCTACAGCTAGGTGGTGCAGTGGATAGAATGCTGTCAGGAAGACCTCTTCCTGAGTTCAAATATGGCCTCATAACTTACTAGCTGTGTGACCCTGGACAAGTTACTTAACCCTATTTGCCTCAGATCCTCATCTGTAAAAATGAGCTGGAGAAGAAAACAACAACAAGGTGGAAACTAAGTAAGATTAAGACTGGAAAAGCTATTGAGGTAAGCAGATTATGAAGACCTTTGAATGCTGCTAAGGGATTTGATATTTGATCCTGGAGGTGATATGGAGTCTGGATAGGAAAGTGACAGGGTCAAACCTGCAGTTTAGATGAACTAGGGAAGAGACGTAGCAAGACCACCAAAACCAGCAGACTGTTTCAATAGTTCAGGTATGAGGTCGGGCAACAGAGTGGTGGCAATGTCAGAAGAGAAGAGAGAAGGTAATGAGGATAATATCTAGATTTCAGGCCTGTGTGACTAGGAAGATAGTGGTATCAGAATAGTAATAGGGAGGGGGAGGGCTTGTGGGGAAAGATAATAAGTTCGGTTTTGGCTACGTTGAGATGTCTGTCCACGGGACTTCCACTATGAGACGTTCACTCGATTGTCTAAGATGCAAGACTGAAGGTCAGCAAAGAGGTTCCGGCCAGATAAGTAGATTTTAAAATTATCAGCGGAGGTCATGGAGGTAATAAGTAGATGACCTTAAGTTTGTATCTAGCATTCTACAGCATAGTCAAATCATAGTACCAGGAAGACGGGAAAGTTTTTCTAGGTGAAGGCGTATCAAACTCCAAATAGCCACTTGGAAAATTGTTTGCAAATCTATAAAATGAGATGCTTTATGTGGCTAAGGATAAAACAACCTATTGCTATCTTATCGCTCCCCCTGCTCTCTAACCCCACCCACACTGATATTATCACCCCCCCAACCCCGCATTTCTCAGTCTCCTCCTTTCCTGTGTCTTTAGATTTTAAGTTCTTTTGGGGAGGTTAAGAACTTTGTATAATACTTTGCATATCATAGGCACTTAATAAATGTTTCTTAAATTGACTTTGAATTACACAGCCCAAAACAGCTAGGTGGTACAATGGATAGTATTTTAAGTCAGGAAGTTGTTGAGTCATTTCAGTTGTGTCCGACTCTTCCTGACCCCATTTTGGGGTTTTCTTGGCAAAGAAAATGGAGTGTTTTGCCATTTCCTTCTCCAGCTCAATTTTACAGATGGAGAAACTGAGGCAGACAGGGTTAAGTGACTTGACTAGGTCACAGAGCTAGTAAATGTCTGAGGCCAGATTTGAACTCAGGAAGAGGAGTCTTCCTGAGTCCATGATCTGCTACTCTATCCACTCAGCCTGATAATATTCTAGATAAAGCTGATAATATTCTAGGTAAATATTCTAGATAAAATGCTACTTACTATTGTTGTTGCTTATGTTTGAGGCCCTGGGGATATAAAGACATAAAAAATAAAACAAATCCAAAATCCAGTTCCTACCTTCAAGGAATTTCCATCCTATCGAGATTTAACAGGAAAACTTGGTTCTTAAGTGTTCTTGTATTCAGAAATGGCTAAGGGGCCAGATGGGTAACAAGGCCCAGTTACCACTCAGAGAACAGGATTTCTTTCATTCTCTTTCTAAACTATTTCCTTAGCTCAAAGGCTGTGCCCAAAGCACAGATCATAAAGGGGAGATAAGCAGGTTAGCACAGGAGAAATTGAAATTGGTAAAATACTTCACTTGGGTCATTTATGATGGGAGGGGGGTGATAAAGGAGGGGGTCAGTAGTTGGGGGGGAAGAGGAAGAAAAACAGTGCATGTGTGGACATGTCCATGATGTTCTTCAATCACACTGTTCAAAGCCTTGGGCTGATGCCCAAATTCTTTTTGCAAGTTACCTGCCCATTTTATAGTGAGGGCCGGAGCTCTGTTTACAGTCTTAGCAGGATCTCGGAATTAAGAGGCATTTTATTTGTTCAAACACCTTAAGGAAGCCAGGAAGGCTGCAGTGACCACCAGCAGCTGTATTCAGCTGCCTCCTCTCTCCCACACCCCCCTTTCCCTTCATGTTTTGAAATTTATTTTCCCACATTCAGCCTAGGATTTTTTTCCTTCCTTCCCCTATCACAGTCCCGTAGCAGCTAAAAGGGAAACGTTTAGAGGAGAGAACAAGGCTTTATAATCCTTCCTGGTGTGCACCCCCCTCAACCACCACCAAAACAAAGAGGTAAAGAAAACTACACGAAAACCTTGTTTTCCAGGGAAATTGTTTCCTCTAGGGAAATCATCCAGTGATACTCTCCTCCCTCTTCCCCCACCCCCAAGTCAGCTGAAAGCAGTAATGTACTTGAAAGTAACAGAATCACTCTTAGGAACCTTAGTAAGTGAAACTGGTAAGGGTTTCTACTACCAACCACTGGTTCCCCAAAACTCTGTTCCCCATGAACTATCCAAGGATCCCGCTTCCCCTGCCCCCACTTTGAACCCCCAGCGTTCCATCTCTGACTTCTCTAGGACCTGGCACATTTGAGAAGGGTGTGAAGCCCCACTGGTAGGTCACCCTCACCCCAACAGAGAAAAGGTAGAAAGTCCTCTCTGGCGCCTTGTCTTGAGAAGGCATGTCTACACAAGCCAATTCTGCTAGCGCCTCTACTCACCCACACGAACGTCCTCGGTCACTATGACATTTTAAGAAACTAGAAACCTGGATTCCTAAAGATGGGAAGAAATGTTTGGGGGGCTTCCCCAACCAAGTACACTGCTTTCACAATCATTTCAGCTTTTGTAGCTTCAAGAACCTCAGAGGGGAGTTGAGCTTATTCTCTCTACCCCTTCCCTATTTTACAGATGGGGAACCTGAGGCTCGGTGTGCCATTTGTCTAAGGTAACACCGAGGAGATATTAGGGGGAAACAAGTCTTCCACTCAACTCGGACCCTAATCTTAACACAAAAATCCCAGCAGTAAGCTCCACTCTCTACTTTGCATAGCCAAAGGATTATCCAGGCCCCCTTAGCTTCTTCCCCCCATTGTCCGCAGGCACAAGGAGAGGGGGATGGGAGGGGGAGAAAGGGAGGAGGAAGCAGACCAGCGGGCAGAAGTCGTTGGAAGATCCCAGTGCAAACTGATTGCTAGTGGTCTCTCCTTGCCCCCAATGCTAGCACAGTGTTTGCTCGTACCCCGAAAGATCAGCACCACCCAGAATGGGCGGCTGGCAGGTCGAACTGTGAGGTCAGCTGGATCGATGGGTGTGTACCGACCAAAGATTAGAGGGCCCCCCACCACCTCTCATTCCCGCCTTCATCTAGTGCTACCCATCCTCAGTCCCCGTGGTCTCCTTCAAAAAAGGACCGGGGGGCGGGGGGGGGGCGCTATGCCTACAGCAAAACTTGGCGATCCAGGGGAATGTAAGTTTTAGGTGGTTTTCTTTTTGTTCTGTTTTGGCTTTTTTGGGGGGTTGCATTTTAACCTCCTCCTTTCCAACAGCAATATTTTTAAGCCCCAGTGTCGGGGGGAGATAAGGCACCTCGGGAAATGAGTAGCCTGCCCCGCCCCCCACGGCTCCCCACGGACCCCATCTCCCAAAGGATGTCCTCCTTCCCCCTACCTGCCCCAGGTTGCTCCAGAGTTAACAGGTCACAACATCTACCTGCTCCCCATCTCCCTTCCCCTGAGGCCCCGCTGGGGGAGTGGAGGCTTTCCGCCGGCTAGCACGTGGGGGCAGGATCGGGGAGCCAGAGCCCCGGAACTGCACCGCACCCCGCACCCCCACCCCCAAACCCAGCCTCACTGTGGCAACTGAGGAAAGACCGCGCACGATTCACAGCATTGGAGTGGAGTGGGGAGGGCATTTAAGATCTCCCCAGGGCTGGCAAGGAGGGCTTCAAGGCAGGATCAGAAGCTTTTGTCCTCCCTTCCAGCCCTTCCTCTGGGAGGGATGGACTGGCGGTACACACTAGCTCAGAGAGGGCCAATTCCAGGGTCAAGGAAGGGTCACTCCTTAGGACTAGCCAAAGCGGACCTCCCAATGTCCCTGGCCGCGAAGGGCTCCGAACTCTTCCCGGTATTCTAGTAAATAGAAAGCTTCCAGAAAGCAGAGGCTCCCTACTTTTTTGCCCATCTTTGTATTCCTTCCAGCTTCTTAACAGTAACCAGTATGGTGCAGGCGCTTAAAAAGTGTGCTAAATTGACCTACAGACAGGCTCTACTCCCTTCTGCCCCCAAAGTTACATACATAGTCCCAGGGAAGGTCCATCCTTCCTCCCCACCTCCCCAGGAGGTTTTCCAGACTTTCAGCTCAGTCAAGAGGAGGAATAATAATCCCAGAGGAAAGGAGACAGCTTGAATCCAGGAGAAGGATATTACTGGAGGAGGGTCAAGGAGAGAGGTTTCTCTCAGCAATCCCCCTCAAAAGCTTCAAAGTGTCAGCATCCCACCATCCGTAGATGTTCCAAGTTCTAGAACAGGCACTCCTAGAAGAAGGCACTAGGGCGGGACAAGGGAGAGACTGAGTCACCTTCCCAAAAAAGCAAGAGCAAGCCCCCGAGCTTAGCCAGGACCCCAAGGCCGGCTGGCTGCCCGGGCTTACCTGTAGGATCTTGTCCAGGCCCTCCTGCCCCAGGTAAGGGAACTCTTTAAGAAGCTGGATCTTCTGCCTGGCGTAGTTATCCTTGGCGGTCTTCCAGTGCGGCTCCTCCAGCACCTCGAAGATTGCCGCCCCGATGGACAGGTAGAAGATGATGGCCGATGTCAGCAGAGGTCCCCGGTCCACCATGGCTCCGGAGGGGGCCGGCCACTCCCGGCCTGCGCCAGGCTAGGGGCAGATGGTGCCGGAGGCAAGAGGCCCCCCACCCCCCCAGGGCTCCCCACCGCTCTCCCTCGCAGCCTCTGGAAACAGCTGTTTGAATTTGGAGCTCCGCATGCGCAGTGCCCCTTTTTTCCTCTCCGAGCGCCTCTCCCAGGGCAAAGTTTCTCCGCCAAGTTGTCCCGCCTTGGGGGTTAGTGATCGGTGGGGGAGAAGGACCCTCGTTTACACAACCCTGTGGGTTAGGAACAGAAGGGGCTTTGGGGAGGGGTGGTTCTGCGAAGGGATAAAGAAGTGGGCGCTCCAGGTTCCACTGTTCGGGGGAGACACGTGGGCTTCCTCTCTGCCCGCCACCCGGCTATTGCCTTACACTGCGCCCGCCTCGCCCGCCTGCGCCTCTTTAACCAGCGGCCCAGAGCACACTCCTCCGAGCCCGGGGAGGGGCCAGCTGGCTCCCCCGCCCTCCCCAGTCCTGGACTGAGGGGAGGGAGCGAGACCAGCCCCGCCCCGCCTTGATGGGCCAGTCCGCTGGCGGCGGGAAAGGGGGTGGGGGCAAAGGAGGGAAGGTGGAATTTAGAGTTTAGCGCTTACAATTTTGGACTGGAAGGAAGCTTAGCCATTCCTTCCTCGGTTCCTGAGGAAGAAGCTCTGGAGTACCTATCCCCCAGGTGCAATACCCCGACCCTGCACCCAGTCCCGGGAGAGGGGCGGGAGGGGAGGGGGGAAGTGTTGGGAGCTGGGCTGGAGGAACCTGCCTGAGCGCAGTGGCATCCCTATTATTATTTTTGTATTAGTGTAGGTGCTTGTAATTGTCATTATTTCGCTTCTCCTCCAAGGGTGCTAGAGACCTCTCGGAGGAAAGCCAGGGGCGGGGGCAAAAGAGGGAAAGGGACGGAACTGATGGGGAGAAAGGGGAGTGGGCCAGAGAAAAGGGTGCAGGTTGCAAGGCTGGAGAACCCAGTAGAAGTAGGTAGCTTCCAATAACCTTAAAAACGATAAACGGTCCCTTGGGAACAGTTGGGGAATTCTGTTTGACTTACAGCTTCAGTCCTAGTTAGCTGGAACCTTACCTTCTAACTGTAGCCTTTGGGAGACACAGCTCTCCGCCGAAGGTGTAGCCTGCCCTTTATGCTTAACAACTTCCTGTGTGACCAAGACAAGTAGATTAATCTCTCTGGGCCTCAAGTTCTTCATCTGTAAAATAAGGCGAGGTCAGTGTTGTCTGGGGAAGCCAGGTGGCAATGTGGGTAGAGTGCTGGGTCTGGAATCAAATTGGACTTGAGTTCAAATCCTTCCTCAGACACTTACTAGCTGTGTGACCCTGGGCAAGTTACTTAACCCTGTTTGCCTCAGTTTCCTCATCTGTCAAATGAGCTGAAGACTGAAATGTTAAACCACTCCAGTATCTTTGCTAAGAAAACCCAAAATGGGATCAGAGAGTCCGGCAGAACTGATAACAGTGTTATCCATCTCTTTTACAACGGTAGAGTATATGGCCTCCAAAGTCCCTATCTGTTTTAAATTCTATGATCATCTTGACCAGAAACGGCATTTGGGGAGGAGAAAGAAGGGAGGTGGGGAGAAAGAAGACATAAACTAAGGGGTGGCAACAATGGGAAAACATCCCACTTCTTCAGATCCCATTCCCAGCTAGTTGCCAGGAAAGCAAGTTTGACAGTTAAAACCAAGGGTAAGCAAGCATAGCTTCCCAAGACATAACATCGGGAGGACTGGACACTTTCTTTTGTATAAATGTACTGTTTTTGGTCCAAAAAATTCTTCTGTCTCTTGATTTTGTTGTTGTTCAGTCCTTTCAGTTATGTTCAACTCTTCCTGATCCCATTCGGGATTTTCTTGGCAAAGGTACTGGAGTGGTTTCTTTTCCAGCCCATTTTGCAGATGAGGAAACTGAGGCAAACTGAGGAGTAAGGATGGAGCAGCAGTTATCTAAGACTCTGGACACCACTCTGGCCATCTGGGAGAGATCTGCCAGCTAAATAATGTAATGTGTGCAGGTGGGAGGGGAGTGGCAGTGAAGAGCTCTAATGTCTAGGGTGGAAATGCTGGTGTCTCTATTATGTGCCTGTGCATTTATGTACGTAAGTGCCTCTGCCCTTTGCTGCGAGAGGAAGGTTTGGGTCCCCAGTACTAGAGTCTCAAACATTTCTCTGTCTTTCCTCCAGCCCAAGGCTGACATTGGGGGCTGACTCCCACATACCTTCCACCTCCTTCCTAATGCCTTACCTACACCACAGACCAAGGTCTTCATTATCACCTTTTATCCTGTCCTCTGTCATCTAAAAGAGATGTTTCCCATTCCCTCTAAGCTTATTCCCCTTTCTGGGAGGATAGAGCTCGGATACATGTTTGTGAGAACTGAAGCTGGTGTGAATAGTTCAGCCCAGCAGGAGTGGGAGGGAATGTAGGGATGGAACAAATTTCCTTTTTGTTGGGGAATGCCCATTCAGTGCCTTGTCCAGCTCCTGTCTCAGTTGGGGTGGGGGGGGGGGGGGGGGGAAGGTGGAGAGGGAAAAGAAATTCTTCATTATGGTTTTGTTGTTGTTGTAATGAGACCGAAGGTGGAAAGTCTTTTTTTTTTTTTTAACAACTAGCATTTATTAGGCCTCACTATATGCCAGGCATTGTTTGAAAGTTTGACCAGCTTTTTACTTGACATTTTTAGTAGCTATGATGACTGTTATCTCTGTGTCTCCTGATTTTGTTGTTGTTCAGTCATTTTAGTCATATCTGACTCTTCGTGATCCCATTTGAGATTTTCTTGGCGAAGGTGCTGGAATGGTTTGCCATTTTCTTCTCCAGGTCATTTGACAGATGAGGAAACTGAAGCAAATAGGGTTAAACGACTTGTCCAGGGTCACACAGCTAATAAGTGGCAGAGGCTAGATTTGAACTCAAGTCTTCCTGACTCTAGGCCTGGTGCTGTGCCCCTGAACTACCTAGCTGCCGGTGCCTCCTTATTCTCCATATCTAATGGCTATCACTTCATTTATTTTTTTAGTGTTTTTTATTATATTAATTTATTTTGATTTATCAATAATCACTTCCATATGCTTTTGAGTTTAAAATTTTTCTCCCCCTTCCTCCCCACCACCCTCCCCAAGATGGTGCACAATCTGATATAGGCTATACATTTACATTCGTATTAAACATATTTTCACATTAGCTATCACTTCATTTATATGTAGCCTTAAGGTTCACAAAGCACATTACAAACATTAGCTCATGTGATCCTCACAACAACCCTATAAGATGGATGCTGTTATTATCCCCATTTTACAGATGAGGAAACCAAGGCTGGGGGAAGGTTAAGTTACTTGCCCAGGGTTACACAGTCAGTAAGTATCCGAGGCAAGATTGGTGCTTATCTCTCCCACCTTTAGTCCTCTCCCACCTCTTTCTTCCTTTAGCATATTTTCCTACATGCCCTTTCAGCCTTGGCCCTCCTTTGTTAAAGCATTTTCCTGACCAGTCCCTTCTGTTTAGTTACCATGTTCTACCCATGTTCTACCACCTAACTCCACCTGCATACTTTTCCCAGAACTATCACAGTTAGTTTTACTGATATTGTTGTTCGTCCTTCGTTCTTGAAGAGGACCAATGCTATCAGGAGGGTGATGTCTTGACTTGCAAGTTAATTGGATTTAAATAAGGCAGGGTTGTGCAAAGTCATCAGCTTCACTCTTTCTCCAGTCATTGGAGTCCAGTGGCAAGATGACTGGTGATGGCCCCAGATGCAGGGGGAGACCTTGGCCTTTTTAAGCTAAGGTCTTTCCTGGGTCCCAGTTTGTCTGAGGCAACACCCATTCAATAGTTAAACGCTAGGTAAGGATTGGGGCAAAAGATGGCCTAGTTTGCCTTCATAAAAGAATCAGTCTGGGAGGGGAAGACCCTTGGAGTTTCTGGCCAGAACAGAAGCGATTGTGATTTGTACTCACTCTGAGCCAAATAATTAGCAAGTGAGGCTTGGGCTGGGACCTATTATTGGCCAATCAGTGAGAGCCCGAATGATTTGGGTTTAAAGGAATAGTCAAGTAGCTCCTTTTGAATCCCCCTTTACTGAGAAGAGGAGAAGGTCAAGGTGACTTCCTCACTCTTTTTGCCTTGAGAGGGGTTAGAAGGTTGAGGTGGGCAGAGCAACAGAACTACCTCTTCATATGTTGTAGTCAGAGATTTTTAAATTTAGCCTACTTGACCAGATCTGAACAAAATTGGGTTTGGGGCCAGAAAGGACCTCACAGGGAGGGTAGGCAGAGTAGCCAGGTATGTCTGTATGATGTGAGGCACTAAGTGGGGAAAACCCTGAATCTGGGATTAGAATTCAACAATAACCTAATATGTATAGTGTCTACACTGGAGGAGATAAAACATAGTCTTGCATTTAAGGAAAAGACCTAGGTTCAAGTTCTGACTATCCCTTAGTAGCTGTGTGATCTTAACTCCATGAACCTCAGTGTCCTCATCTGCAAAATGAAGATAATACCTCTTTACCTGTCTTTTGGGGCAGCCAGGTGGTACAGTGGATAGAGCACTGGGCCTAGAGTCAGGAAGACTCATCTGCCTAGAGTCAGGAAGACTCATCTTCCTGAGTTCAAATCTGGCTTCAAACACTTCCTAGCTGTGTGACTCTGGACAAGTCACTTAACCCTGTTTGCCTCAATTTCCTCATTTGTAAAATGAGCTGGAGAAGGAAATGGCAAACCGCTCTAGTATCTTTGCTAAGAAAACCCCAAATGGGGTCACAAACAGTTTGAAAGGACTGAACAACAACAATAATCTTAAGTCTATGAACCTCAATTTCCTCATCTGCAAAATGAAAATGCCTCTTTACTTGTCCCATAGAATTGTTATAAGGATCAAATGAGATGCTAACCCTCACTAGCAGAAAGTTTTTTTTTCTCTCTTCAAATTTTCCTGGAGTTCTTTCTCTCCTAACCTGTCCTCTTCTCCCCACTCCACTCCAAAGATCATTAGCAAGAAATTGTCCCCTTGTTGGGTTTCAATAAGTTACAATATCTACCCATCAACCCAGAAG